TATTTGGAAGAAGAAATCTTACCTTGTAGTGGAGACTTACTCATGCTTAGGAGACTTCTTAATAACCAAACTAGTGATATTAACCAATCTCAAAGAGAAAACTTATTTCACACATGATGCAAGGTTTTAGAAAATACTTGTTCTCTCATTGTAGATAGTGGGTCTAGTTGCAATTGTTGTAGCACTAGATTGGTTGAGAAGTTATCCTTAACTACAATACCTCATCCTAGACCTTATAAATTGCAATGGATTAATGAGGAAGGAGGAATTGTAGTCAACCAACAAGCAAACATACCAATCTCCATTGGAAAATATAAGGATGAAGTTTTTTTTGATATAGTGCCATTGGAGGCTAGTCATGTTTTGCTTGGGAGGCCTTGGCAATTTAATAAGAAAACCATCAATGAAGAAGAAGAAAAGCACTCAAAAGTAAAAGCATGCATGTGTCAGAAAAAGTGCATTACTTTTTCAGAAAAGGACAACATTCTGAAGCTATGATAATCGGAAAAGGACAAAAGGTTCCTAGGTCTCTGCTAAACTCAGACACAGCTGCTAACAAGGCAAAAAAGACTTCACGTAATGTCTATAAACAGGAAACAACATTTAATGTGAGATCTTCTGCATTAAATAGAAGGTAAGAGTGAACGAAGCCAATGACACGTGAAAGGATAGACTTCGAGAGCGTCGATTGCAACCATGTGAGAAGCATTTGATCCTGGACCTCCCAGGTTTTATATTCTGGATTAACAATATCAGAATCACGATCAGCATCAGTTAGATACCGGGGTGGAATTTGCGGATTAACCACAAATCGTTGAAGTTTGTGGGATTTGATGACGGGTTCGATCTGCTGCCTCCAGTGAAGATAATTCGAATCATCAAGTTTTTCAGCTATGGAGTTGGAGAAAAATTGTGAAAAGGGGGAGGGATTATTTGATGTTGCCATAGAAGAGATGAGGAAGAAAAATTAAGATCTTGGTACAGGATCAGAAGGCTCTTGATACCATGTTAGATAAAATCAAGAGAGGTAAAATGTAATAGTGAAGCTTTATTATCATTGTTGCTATAGAAAGAATACAAGGAGTGCTGAATATATAGAGAACCTTTTCTAAATACAGCAGCTAGAGAAAAGAGAGAAAACAGTTGTAAAAGCAACCAGCGGAGAGAGAAAAACAAGAGAGGTGGCAGGACAGCTGTCCACTAAAAGATTCTGAAGATATCCTAAAGATATCACAGAATGCAAAAAGCAAAAAGGACTAACAAACAAATATTCCCTTTTTGTTGTAACCCATATACACTAACAGCGCCTCACGTTCATCTACGACGAGACCCACTCGCTGGTAACCATCTTGAAAGGTTCAACGGCGACCCCTTAGCCCATTCCAAAGGGTAGTGTCGTCCAGATCCTTCCTAACAAAATGGGGCTGCTGAAAGGAAAAATCATTATCTCTTAGAAGTTACCAGAGCCTTACTTTTGCAAATGTTTGTTCCTAACACTTTTTGGGGAGAAATTGTCCTAACCTCCATCTATCTTATAAACAGGTTACCCACTCGAGTCCTTAATGGTGTTAGCCCTATTGAGTTATTACAATCATTGGTTCCTTCTGTCCCATTGATTTCAAGTTTACATTGTCATGCTTTTGGTTGTGTTGCTTTTGTCCATTCACATTGTCCTCATAGAGGTAAATTAGATCCAGGACAATTAAATGTGTCTTTGTTGGTTACCCGTCAAATAAAAATGGATACAAATGTTATCATCCTCAGAGTCGTAAATTTTTTGTCTTCATGGATGCTACTTTCAATGAAAATGTGTCCTTCTTTGTCTGTCCTCGGTTTCAGGGGGAGAAAAGTTTAGAACCTGAAGACAAGTCTTGCTTAGAGTTATTACCATTTTTGTCTCTATAGGATGTCCAAATGTAAGATAAGTTCTTTGGCATAAAATATCAAAGGAAGAAAAAATCCACCATAGTTCCACGGCAAGAGGAATTGTATGACTTGGAATTAAGTGATCTTGAAGGTAATTTGGAGAAAGTAAGTGTTAATGATGATATTCAAATTCCTATTGCTTTTGAGGAAAGAGAAAAGATCTTATGTTAAATATCCTATTTCTGTACTAACCACTTGTTTGCTACTTTGCTTGACATCAAAGTTTTACAACTGTCATTGATTCGGTAGATATCCCAACCTCAGTCCAAGAAGCTATGAGAGAAGAACACTGGATTCTAGCCATGAAAGAAGAAATGAAGGCATTGGAAAAAAACTCAACATGGGAGATTATAGATAGGCATAAAGACAAGAAAGTTGTAGGATGCAAATGAACATTCAGAGTGAAGCACAAAGTTGATGGGGCAATAGAAAGATACAAAGCAAGATTGGTAGCAAAGGGGGTACATACAATTATGGGATAAACTATGAGGAGACATTTGCACCAGCGACAAAGATGAATATAGTACGTGTTACACTTTCCCTTGCCGGTCATTTTGGTTGGGACTTACAACAGTTTGATGTAGATTCCCCTAGGATTTGGAGCTTCAGTTGAAGAAAATAAAGCATGTAGATTAAAAAAGGCCTTGTATGGACTCAAGCAATCTCCACGAGCATGGTTTGGGATATTTATCCAAACAATGATTTCTTTGGGATACAAACAGAGTCAAGGGAATCATACTTTATTTATAAGACACTCTCCTAATGGTAAACTTACAATACTTTTACTCTATGTAGATGATATAATCATTGTAGGAGAAGAAGAAAAAATTGACCCTGAAGAAGAAATTGGCAAATAGTTTGATATGAAAGACTTGGGGAAATTAAAGCATTTCTTTGGAATTGAAGTTGCTCATTCCAATAATTGAGTGTGTATATCCATTTGCACCCTACAATTTTCCTGTCTTTGGTTTATTAGCGATCTCCCATGTTTAGTTTTTCTTCAATGCCTACATTTCTTCATTCATGACTTGAATCCAATTTCTATCTTTGAATGATTCTTGGATTGATGCGGGTGTTTTGATTGCATAAGTGGAAAAAATAAAGGTTTGATGTTGGACATAGAAATGGTCAGTACAAACAAATGGAGAAATGAGATACTTGGCTCATGATCTCTTCCCTTGTTGAGTGGGTCATACTGGAAGTTGGAGTCTAGCATATGAATTCTAACATGTGTGCATTGTGTATTAGATTTCTTGGTTTTTGGATGGTGAAGGGGATTTGCTCCTCCTGGTTTGACCATGGTCTCGTAGGTGGTGGCAGGGGCAACAAATAGCAGTGTTGGTACTATGCAATAGAAACAAAGCTCCCAAGATTATGAGCTTTGAAACCAAGTTGAAATGAGAGGATTTTGTATTAACTGTATATTTCTTTAAATTCACTGATCTCCTTTTGTTCGAGTGTTTAGGCATAAGGAGAAAAGAGTTGAGGGAAAAACAGAGAGGATATGAAAAATACTTATATACTTATGATATATGTATTTCATGTTACAATTAGAGAGCAAGTCTCTTATTTATATAGTTGAGTGCTAGTGTAATTGTGTCAATACAATTACAACAAGCCTAATGGAAAGCATAACAAACTAACAAATCTAATGATTATTATTAACAGTCCAAAGAGTCTGTTGAAAACTGATTGCGATGTTTAGTGTTGAGCCCATCAAATTAGATTGGCCAAATTCATGTTGGGTTGGGAATGAATGTGACCCACCCTCCCAATTGGCTTCTCTATTTCTCGGAGTACAAACACGTCCTTGCATAGGCTTCCCCCTCATTTCATCTTCTCCATTCAACTCTTCCTCTACACCCCTCGCTATTTTCATAAGTTGTATACTGGTAGTCGGATTCAACGTTTGAACATGTCTCCGTATTGTAGGTTGTAAGTTGCTCATGAAATATCCCACATATTGCTCCTCAAGCAATCTACTAACCTTAGATGGAATTAGCTCAAACCGCTCAATATATTCATCTATTGTCCTTATTTGCAACAATGATGAGAGCTCCTTAAGAGGGTTCTCAAACTTCTCGCCTCCATGGCACACAACCATCGGTTTCTTTAATTTTGCCATGTCAGTTTGTCCTTTGTTTCTTGTAAGATGTTGAACTAGAGTATGGTTGCCCCTTACATATCGAGTCGAGACAGCTTAATCTTGATTGCTTCTGAAGTGTTTTGAACCTCAAATAAACTTAAGTTTGCATTATCCAACCAACGGGGTCGTTGCCATCAAACATAGGTAGCTCCACTTTGTAGATAGACATTCGATATTCTTCCAATTGATCTTCACTACCACTTCCTGAACCTCCTTTCAAAAAGATACCGCCACTTCCATGGATAGTCTTCCTATGGGTAACACTTCCATCCTTGCTACTATCTTTTCCACCATCTGATAATTGATGATCCAAGAGTTTGGTAATGCCCGTCGATAGAGTTCTCCGAAACTCCTCCATTGCAAGCTTGACGGAATCCTCCAATGATGTAACCTTCACTTCCAATAAATTGACTCTATCTGGCATCTTAGGTGGCATAATCAATCCGACAGGTCAGACTAATGTTAGGAAACCAGAAAATTACACCAACAATTATCTGAGCTCTCACAAAATGGAGACGTATATATTGATCTGAAAGTTAATGGAAACTTCATACAATGCCAAGAGCCTATGACTATTTATTTTCCACCACTAAGGGTCCCGCCAATTAAAATGCCCCCTCTTTTATTTATTTTCCCTTATATGACTGAATATTCCCACAACCCATCCCCTCTGACAGACATAACAAACTGCCAGCTCATCCCATATGTTTAATATTTTCTCCCTTTCGTTTTCTCTCCTTCCTCCTAGTGTAAATTCTCCACACTTTGGGCCTATTAGTTTGTTGCCAATAATTGACCTATCACCAAAACCATGGGCTTTATCACACACTAATATTTAGAGATATTCAAAGATATTTTTGACCTCATGAATATCTATGATATTTACAGTATTTTGATTTCCTAAGAAAAAGTTGTTTATGTTATCCAGGCACGTATGGCATCTGCATCCACACTAGTGACCTTGTTGGATGGTCTCTCTTCCATTTTCCTGCAAGTAGCAGAATATAAGGAATCTAACAAATTTGGATCTTTTATGGCACTTTCAAGTTCCCTTGGGAAGATTTTACTGGAACTTCATAGAGGTAGTTAAAACATTTGCAGTATCTTATTGAATATATTTTTGTTTACACACACCTGTAACGGTGCTTTCGATTTTATTTTTCGTGGCTCTTCATTATTTATTTATTTATTTGTTTGTTTGCTTAATTTTGCACTTGTCCTTTTTTCTCTGATGTAGGTCTTCTTTACTTAGTAGAGCATGAAGCTCATAGTAAATTGCTGGCTTTGTTATTCAAGATTATCAAGCTTGTGATATTATCTACACCGTATGTTACCTTGCTTCCAGGATTACCCTATTTGTTCAATCTAGCTGTAGTTTCACTGCAAAGTTTTTCCTTTTGTTTTTCTCCTCTTATATACTAGTACAATATTTTTCCTGTTTTGGTTATTGTTTGTCCATAGTGCTCTTATGCTTTAATGGTTGGAGCCAGTAATATTAATTTTTTCATTTGAAATACCGAGGTTGGATAAAATAGTACGACTGAGGAACCCAAATCATCAAATCTTTTGCAAACTGTGGAACATCTATCTAATGGTTTTATTGACATCACAACCATTTTATAAGTAGGAGGGTATTATTGAAAGTTGAAACAATTGAAAATGAAACTATGGGACAAAAATCATGCAATTATTGAAATACAAAAGGTCAAAAGGATAATTAAGAGATGTGGTAGATAGCAAACAACTTAATCATAGATTAATATTTATATCGGTCAAAAAAGGTTTTTCTTTTGTTGATGGTTTTATTCAAAATACAGTTTTACAAATAAATAGTTGGCTGTGTAGTGGAAGTTTGGAACAGAAAAGGGAAGGAAAAATTTATCCCTGTGAATTAACTTTATGGTGTAGAGTCTACTATAAATACATTACCTAAGTTTAAGGGATCTACTATAAATATATTACCAATGATGAAAAAGCAAAAATGCAATACGGGTTTGGTGGTAATCATGAATTTATTTTATTTTATTTTTTTGGTTCTTGATTATTTAGGGTGTCTTTGGAAACCCATTTGAATTGTGCTGAATGGATGTTTTGCACATTCCAATGTACAAATGGAAAATGAGTGTTGGATTGGGTTGAACGTGGGTTTAAATGGATGAAATTGAAAATCAAACACACTGATATGTGTTGTATAAATTATTTAGTTTGTATTATTATAATATTTGATCCTGCTTCCTGCTATAGCATTTTTAGTATTGGCTGCCATGCACGGCCATTTGAAATTGAAAATTATGATTTATAGGGTATAAAATACAAACTATTGTTGCTTTAGTCCAAAGGTTGTATAATGAAAAATGAAAAAATATAAAAAGATGGAAGAGAATCAATTAATGCAAAATATAATAATAAAACAATTAATTACAAATATGATGCTGATCATTCTAAATATAATTAAATGTTTCATTGTGTTAGAATAGCATAGCACATAGAGAATAAAGATTGTAAACTGAAAAATTGAGAGAATGATTTCATTCATACTGTATTCTTCTGTTACAAGGTATTTATACTCAGGAATGTAGTCACAACAAACTAAGTATTACAATGGAAAGCTAGCCCAACTAATTACCACAACAGAAAGTTAACCCGAGAGATCAATTGCTTTAACTGAACTCAATACATCATTAACACCCCCCCCTCCCTCACAAACTCAAGGCGGGTGAGAAGCTGATAACTCAGCCACATTGAGTTTGCCTCTAAGTAATAAAAAAAATGTTTCGGTGATAGAGGTTTTGTTAGAAGATTAGCCCGTGGATCCTGAGCTGTGGATCATGAAGGACTTGAACTTGCTTCTGAGCAACTTTCTCTCTTAACAAAGATGAGGTCTATTTCCATGTGTTTCTTACGAGCATGAAGGGTTAGGTTGTAGATTGAAAAACTGAGAAAATGATTTCATTCATATTGTATTCTTCTATATATTTGCTTACTTATTTCTTGAAGGTAGATTAGAAGGCTCTTGATTTACAAAATTAGTATGTGAACTGAAATTTATTGTTTTTCCAGATATTCAAGAATGCCACCAACTTTGTTGCCTATTGTTATTACATCTATTAGGACAAGGATTGAAGAAGGGTTTTGGTTGAAAAGTGACCGAAGTAGTCTGCTGGTTAGTTGTATGATTGATTGTTCAAAGTTTTGTATGACCTTATGCCACAATGATATGAATGTATAACATTGACCCGTGTTAACAGGCAGCTGCCATTGGTTGCTTGACATTAGCTTTGTCTACATCACCATCTTCTGCTCAAATAAGGAAGATGCTCTGTGACGAGGTTTCTTCAGGTAACTTTTATATTACTCTTGATATTATAAGTACTTTACTTAAAATTAATGAAATAGTCTAAAAATTTAATATCAATATTTACATAACTCATGCATCTAAATGTGGATTATATTTTATGTAGGTTAATTCATTCTTACTTTTTGTTTCAATTAATTTTTGTGTGTATTCATTTGAATATTTTTGTCATTTTGAAAGAGATACATATTTTCATTTCAACTAATATCATATTATTGAGTTTTTTTTTTTTTTTGTGTTTTTGAGAAATGAACAATTTATTAAGACCGAACAGAAAGAAAAAAATGCAAGAAGATAATAAATCCTCTAGAATATGGATGCAAACGTTAAATTGGCTTATCCAATTTGCAAAATATAAGAACTAAGCCTGTCTTATTTACCTGACTAGGTAATTTTAAACGTCTGACTTGGTTTGAAAAATAGCCTGCATTATATAAAGCCTTTTGTAGAAGCCTACATCTAAACAAGGTAACATGCCTAAGCCTTATGTAAATTAACGGGCCTAATCTTATTGTCAAACAAATATATAATTTCAATAACACTACAGAAAAAAATCAATACAATAATTTGAGTAAAATTATTATTACTATTACTATTATTATTATTATTATTATTATTATTATTATTATTATTATTATTATTATTATTCAGGTTTACTTAGATAGGTCATTCAGTTAGGCCTACAAGGTTTTCTTGATGATATAAAGCTATCCATTTTAGTTGAATAGGGTTTTAGAAAAGTCTAGACCAAAGGTACTTGAGAAATTGACCTTGTAAGTGATGAGCTGAAGATGATGATAGTAAGTGATGTCCCTTTAGCAGGTATTGGCGTATTGAGCAGGCTTGAATAATTTACATCCTTAAAGGTCTTTACAAGGATTGTGAGGTCGTTCAAGATTAGACCTTGACAATTCCTACCATACCTACAGTAGAAACATTGTTTAATTAAGGTTCCTCATTTGAGGCTCCTCCTCAATTTTCCTTGAAATCCATTTCCGTAATCTAACCCAACTGATCGTGGAGATTGGGGATAGAGGAAACGTCTATTGTACTTATTGTAAGAAGGATGGACATACCGATGATTGATGTTGGAGTTTTCACACAAGCCCAATATGGAGTGAGTACGGCAGTTTACAAAAAATGGCATGGCAGTGTGTTTGCTCTACAAAAAGTTTGTGAAGAAGAGGGTTATTGAGTGATAGAGAGAGAGAAGAGAAACAGAAAATTTGTAAAATGTTTAACTGATTTTCATTATTTGACAGTGGAGCAAAACCACTTATTTATAGAGCAAAGAAACCTGTGATAAATTAACCACCCGAGAGTTAGTTTTACAACTGCTCTCTTTATAGTTCACTCACATACCCCCACAAACCTAAGTTGGGTGAGTAGTAGTGGATAGCTCAACAACTTTGAGTTTGTCTCTCAAAAGTAAAAATCTAGCAGATGATAGGGGTTTGGTTAGAGCATCAGCTAATGATCTTGAGTTGGAATGTGCTGAACACTAAGTTGCTTGGCAAGCACTTTCTCGAACAAAAAAAAGGTTGATCTCCATATCTTTTGTCCTAGAGTGAAGATCATGGTTGTGAGCTAAAGAGACCTTGCTTTGATTGTCACAGTAGATAATTGGAATAGAGAAAGGAATTCCTAATTCATGAAGAAGAGTTTCAATCCATAGTACTTCAACAGCTGCTTGAGCCAGACTTTGATATTCAGCCTCAGTACTTGATTTGGCAACTCCAAGCTATTTTCTAGACCACCATGAGATTAGATTAGGTCCAAAAATGATAGCTGCATTTGATGTTGACCTTCTATCATCAGGGTCCGCAGCCTAATCAATATCACCGAATGTATGGAGCTGCAATTTTTTACAAGTTCCAGCAGCCTTAAGGTGTAAACCATGACTTAGTGTACCTTTAAGATACCTTAAAATCCTTTTTACTGCATTCCAATGACTCTCAAGATGATTGGCCATAAACTGGTAGACTTTATTGACAGCAAAACTTATTTTAGGTCTGGTTATTGTGACATATTGAAGTGCTCCAACAACTGACCTATAGAAGGTAGAATCAGTCAATGTATCAGTCCCATGCTTAGACAGCTTGGAAGTAGAGAACATAGGAGTTGAAATAGGTTTGGCTTCAAGCATGTTGGTTTTTTGAAGAAGGTTGCGAATATATTTGTTCTGTGAGGAGAATAGAACCATTTTGCTGGTGTCTGACCGCTATTCCCGAAACTGAGTAAACTGAGATGAACTCACTGTGATGATAATATCATCTACATAGACCAGAAGATAGACAACATTATTATTTATGTGATAAATAAAAAGAGAAGGATCACATTTGCTAGCCTTATACCCAAACTAAAGCAGAGTAGTTTGTAATCTATTAAACCATTGCCTAGGAGCTTGTTTCAGGCCATATAAGGCTTTGTTTAACTTGCTGACCATAGTAGAGTTAGTCTCAAATCCTAGTGGTTGTTGCATATAAATAGTTTCATTAATCAGACCATTTAAAAAGGGATTATTAATATCTAATTAATGAATTTTTGATAGAGCCCAATTAGTAAGGCAAGATAATAGGCCCAAGGTTTGGAGAGTCTATACTAGGAGGAATAAGATTTAACAGTTTATTATCTGTTTGTAATCTATTTAGGAAGTTGATAATTATTTCTGTTTTATCCATAGTAGTCAATAGCGGCCGGAGCGGCCGCTATCGCGCAGAGAAAGAGCGTATACCATCAAATGTACCATAGTGTATTTATCTCTGTTAGCTAAGGAGTTCTAAGTGTAACTTAGGAACATGAACCTTAGTGAGTGTAGAAATCTTTGTATCCTTTCTATGAGAGTAAACCACACATTCAATCCTTGTCAGACTAAGGTTGCATGTAACACCCCAATTTTCATATCATTTATTGAGGGTAATTTAGTAATTTTTCATAAATTTACAGGGGTGGTTTAGTAGCCTAGAACGGGCCGTTCCCAAATTGGAACGGGCCATTTCAGTCTACTAAAACAAGGGCAATTTAGTAGCCTAAAATGGGTCGTTCCCATGCTGGAACAGGCCGTTTCAAACTACTAAAAAGGCCTATAACCCTAGTTGGGAATGGGTCGTTCCAAATATGGCCGTTATGGGTTAAATGCAACCCCAGAACGGGCCATTCTAGTTTGGGAACGGGCCATTCTTGATGTGAAAGTTTACACATGACGAAGAGTCCAAAACGGGCTGTTCCGGATTTGAAACGGGTCGTTCCAGCGACTCTTGATGCCTATAAATAGAGCGCTCTAGCACTCTCAAAAAGCACACCTTTCACTTCTGACTTCTTTTCTTCTACATTCTCTTCTTTTCTTCTACACTCTCTGAAGACCGAGGGGAACCAACGGAGGAGACCAACCAGATCCTGTTGGGCCTAGTTTTGGGCTTCATGGGCCTTTGGGCTTTTGGTACCCAATATTGGGCTCATTTTCATTCTTGTAATTTTTCCTTTCCATTGTAATTGTTTGACCAATGTAATTAGGTCATTAGAATAGGAAAATACAAGGAATACTAAAGTATGCTAATTAGGTTAAACTAGGTTTAATTTGGAAGCCATTTAAGTTACATTTGAGTCACATGTTTTGCACCATTGGTGGCTGAACATGTGACACTCAAATTAACCCTAAATGACTCTCAAATCAGACCTAAATGCACCTTGGTACCTAAATTTTCGGACTTACACATGTGCACCAAAGTTTGAATTCAAATTTCAAATTTGAATTCAAACTTTAGGCGCCAATTTGTGTAGCTTTGGTTTAGGTGCCTATGTGCTTCATTTCCGTGCATACTTAAGTCCTCCCTTCACATTTTTGTATTCACTTTTGAGAATAATGAAATTTGAGAGCTTATTCAGCCAAATTTCGTTCAAGAGTCACCATGAGAGAAAGCTTCACCTTAGGAACCCTACTAGGTTTTCCTCCTCTTTGAAGTGAGCTTTCCCTTGCACCTTAAGCTTGGATGCTTCCATCCAAGGCTTAAGCCTCTTCTATATCCGAGATTCTTCCTCCATCTAGTGTTCATCTTTGTGGTTTCCATCTCCTTGAAGAAGATCCGAGCAAAGGAGAAGCTAAGGAGAAGTCATCTACCACTCCTCCTAACCTTCTCCATCAAAGACGACAAATGATTCTTTAAGTTTTAATGATGACAAACATGTTGGTCTCGGGTAGAACACGAATCTAGAAGGGGGTTGAATAAATTCTTCGCTTAGATGACTTCTAATGGTTTTTCTTGCTGTCTTATTAATTTCTTTCTTTCTTATACAAATTTTACTAATCAAATTCAGATTACACACCAATCAAAGATACAGTTTATCATATTTAATACATAGCAGAACAGATGTTGTTAAGTTAGACAACGAAGCAATTCCTAGTAAGGTTTTGAATGAGACAAATATAATAATGTTGTTATGTCTAACAAGTGTGTTAATGTTTCAGAAAAATATAAGTACAGGCAAAATGAAGAACGAAGCATGTGCAACTTCCCACACCAGAACTAAGATAAAGGGTAAAAGCCACAAGGCATCAGACGAAGAGATCAAGTGAAGCCAAGTCCAGCATAAGAAGGAAAATAATAAAGCCTCAGAAGATACAAGACCATAGATGATGGATATACACAAGATGAAAAGAAAAGTCAAAGCCTACCTCTCAGACTGAGACTTGATTCCATACGCAAACAAAGAATATTGAAAAAGTCTGAAGTCCACTAAGTCACAACGAGAAGTAGTGCTTATCATCCACACTCTCAGAAAAACACATGAAGTCATCAAAAATAGAAGAAGAGAGAAGAAAATAATGAACGAGCGCGAATCCATAAGTTAAAGTTGCATGCATACCTACCATTCAGTAAAAGACAATGCCTTTGCAGCTACAATGCCAGGAAAGTGCAGATATGCCTAGGTTATGATTGAAGTCAGACATAGAAGTGAACAAACGGTACAAAAGACTTCACATAAC